CTTTACCTCCTACCTTTTTCACTCTCTTTCACCTAAGATCATACTTCTCTGTCCCCTTTGCTGGGAACGAATTAAAATCCTATGTGAGGTTCCCTTTTGGTGGAGACCAGGTTCAACGCAGGGGTTGTCAATCTGGTTCAATACTAACTTTGGGGGGCATGTGCTTTCACACTTAGCCACTAGGGGGGGCCTGCGCAATATCTGTGGTTTTATTAGCTCCTGCAAGAAAGTACCAGGATGGCTCCCTTCCTGGAGAAAGAAGAAAGTGGCTGGACTCTAGCCGCTAGAGGAACTGGATTTTCCATCCACCAACTAGCAAGAGAAGGAAACAGGCTTGTAGGGAACATGGATACAGAGACAGGATAGGAGTCTTCAGGTATGTGAGTGACTGGGCTGAAAGGTTTGATCCCATTCATCCTTAGACATGGCTGGAGGGTGTGTGTGTGTGTGTGTGTGTGTGTGTGTGTGTCCAATTCTCCACTGAATACTTTTAGGTCACTTAAATGTTCTGAGCAACTGTTTCTTCATCTCTAAAAACTGGTGACTTGTGAGCTAGCAGATCTCTGTGGTTCCTTCTAGTTGTATTTCTATATCTTGAATGCAGGAGGTTATGGAAGGTTGGTTGAATAAAGTAGGAGAGAGCCGCCAACAGACTAGCCAGTCCTCGGTGAAGGCGTTCCTGATTTATGGATGGACTTTGAACTTTGCAAAGGCTCCCAACTTTGAAGAGTTTCTCTGTGCCCTACTCCACGTGTGCTAAGCCTTTTCAGTCATTCTCAAGGTTTGAAAATGCATTTCCTGCTGTAGCTGACTGGAGCCGGGATCACAGTGAACATTTGTGGTGCCTTTCTCCCTGACACATGAATGACTGATTTCTAGGTAAGGCTGTGCCATGTTCTGCTGCTTGTCTTACACGACAAACTCATTTATCTCTGGTCGCTGGGAAGCGGTGCTGTTGGGGGACTGCATTTCAGGAGAAGTGGACTTGAACGAGTGTTGAGTACTGGCTGTGAACTGACCACCCAGCTGGGCACTGGGGCTGTGGAGGTGAGCAGGCTCCGAGGACAGCGTGGTGGCAAGAGCGGTCCACAGGTGCCCAGAAACTGATGTGTTAAGTGTGAACAGGAGCCCTTGACTGCTTAAATGCTGGTGGAGCGTAGAGGAGTGAGGCCCAAAACGCTTTAAATGCCATCAGTGCATATGACAAGCTTAATGCTTCAGTTGAAACCTCACAGAATCCTGGGAGGTTGGTATTTCCTCTCCCTGTGCTCAGAGACATCAAGTAGTTGGCTCAAGGTCACACAGCGAGTAAGCAGGAAAACCAGGGGCCAAATCGAGATGCCTCAGGCCAGTCAGATTGGGACACCGTCACGCGTGGCCCTGCCGGGTCTCGTGGTAACTGGGATAGGATTCAGCCAGTCAGATTGGGACACCGTCGCGCGTGGCCCTGCCGGGTCTCGTGGTAACTGGGATAGGATTCAGCCAGTCAGATTGGGACACCGTCGCGCGTGGCCCTGCCGGGTCTCGTGGTAACTGGGATAGGATTCAGCCAGTCAGATTGGGACACCGTCGCGCGTGGTGTGAGCAGCAATTCAGTACAAACGTGACAGCGACCTCACAGACTCTCTTCACGTTTGTTATCCTCTGATGACATGGAGTTTCTTTGGCTGTGTCTGACCCACTGCTGTTAGTGTCACGGAGGCCGGGGAAGTGTTGGCCATCTGTCTCCAGAGGTGGGCGTGGTGGTGGAGAGGGTGACAGGCGGGGACTCTGGCACACGCTGCCGTGTGGTGGCTGGCTGGAGATGGAGGGACTTGCCGTGGGAGCAGTGCAGTGCCTGAGATGGCCCAGTGTCACCTGGCAAGGTTGATTTGGGAAGTGCCCCTCTGTCTCTGACGCCGAGAGGTTGTCTCCTGACTTGTGGATGTGAGGAGAAAGGGCAGCTGGAGTTTCTTACTGCAGCTTTGGGCCTACGGTCCAGGGCAGACACAAACCATGCAGATGGAGTAAGTGGCCCAGTGCCTCTGGCTTGAAGCGGCTTTGGAGAAGCCTGTTTTGTGCACGGTTAGTCCTTTGTACCCAGAGTGGTGCGCGCACCAAGCCTGTGCTCAGCGAGTCCTGGTGTGCGCCTGGAGAGATCTCTGTCTGGCCCGGCAGTCATTAGACCTGACTTGGAGCACTACCTATAGTTGCTTGAAGAAAATCCACGACCTTTCCCAAGACCCGATTTTCTCATCTTCAAAGGGATCAGAGGGTTAGTGCCTGCAGGATGGCCATCTCAGGAAGACCAGCAGAGTCTGGTCAGTAAGGCGTGGAGGTGCCCCACAGCCAACAGCTTGGCCAGGTTGGTGGCTGGGGATAATTTCATGAGCATCTCACAAAGACATTTGTCTCCCTTCTCCCTGGAGAGTCCCACATGGATACTTGCGGTGCTGGGCACCTGCCCTCTTGGAAGGTTCTGTGAGAAGGAGGGGCCGGAGCAGAAGATTCAGTGCTTTGCTGTCAGCTTCCCAGTGTACAGCCCTCCTCCCCAGCTGCTGGCGAGACACGTCTGCCAACTATTTGGATGCGGGAGGGGTGGGGTGTCCCAGACTGCTACCTGGGAGGGCAGGACATGGAGGGCAGGCAGAGGAGGCTTTGGAGTCCCATGGGCCTGGGATCCCTTGCTGACAGTGGTGGCACTTAAGCAAGGTATTAAACTGCTCTAAGCCTCGGTTTCCTCATTTGTAAGTGCTGATAAACAGTATCTTCCCTACAGGGTGTTGAGAGAACTGAAAGTAGTGGGTACAAAGCCCCTGGCCTCCCACCTAGCACGTAGTAAATGCTTAATAAAAACAGCAACTACTCCAGGGCTGGACTGTCACTGGGGCAGAAGGCTGGAATGGAAAGGAGGGTCTTAGACCAAGTGGTGAGGGGAGCAGCTGAGCATCTGGTCCCCCTTACGGATCCCAGACTCTCTCCTTCTCCCTTCCTCCCTCGAAAAGTGGCTGCCAGGGAATCACACCCTAGAATGTAAATCCTGTGTTGTAAGGCATGGAAGCCAAAGGTCTGTGCATTCCACTCTAATGTTAAAGGAGAAAACATTTCCCCTCAGATGCTTCCAACTGCCCTCCAGGACTGCCAGCATAAGTTGGGTTTTGGAGAGGTGGGCTCCGAAGCTCAGACAGGTTATTTGACTGAGGGTGCACAGTGGGTCCTGGAAGATCTGGGACTGCAGAGTGTCTGCCCAGCTACACTCTGGGCTCCTGGTCCAAAACAGAGATGTGTGGTCCCAGGTCCTTCATTCAGTCTGCTGGGGCGATGCAGGTGCCCCCAGGAGCTAAAGCTGGTTCAGAAAACCCAGAGAGCAGCCATGCCTAGGGGAAAAACTCAATAAAGAACGACTAAGGACTTTCTATGTGCTGGAGACTGGGGATTTCATTGAGAGTTGATATGCTTAATCCTCACAATTCTCTTAGGAAATAGGTTCTATTATCATTTCCACTTTACAGATGAGGAAATCAAGAGGTGAAGTAACTTGCCCAAGATAACACAGCTAGTGAGCAGCTAAGCCATGATTCTAAATGCGGGCTGTCTGGGCCCAGAGGCCACACATTTAACTGTCGCACCTGACTGGCTCTTGCAAGTTTAGCCCAAAGAAAGACGTGAAGAAGATTCTTACTGGGGACTCTGAAATGGCACCTCACCTGGAGCCAGGCCTGTCTAGGGGTGGAGCTTAAGCATGAGGGAAGTCCGGCTGGGACTCAGGGGCAGCTTAGAGGTCCTTGATTTCCACTCCCAGCATCTTTGGGTGTAGAGCTGCCTCTGTTTATATCAGGAGTACAGGAGGTTGCCTGGGGGGCTGGGAGGAAGATTCACTCCCCGAGGAGTGTCACTCCCGGAGGAGTGGCATGCCCATGGCTTATTCCTTCATCAGATATTTCTGGTGCCTCTCCATCTGTCCTAGTGCACTAAGCGCTGGGAACTTTCCCCATAAAACAAAACTCTAGCCCTGTCCCTGAGATGCTCGTGGTCTGATGGAAACAGTTACAGCTCTCTGTGAGCGAGGCTTGATCAGCGCTGGTGGGACACAGAACAGTAACCAGCTTTGCTGGGGAAGTCCGGGAAGGCTGTCCAGGGACAGTGACATTAAGGTCAGGACTTGAAGTGGGGATTTGGTGGGGCAAAGGCAGGACAGATGCGGAGTCTTTGGCCTGCTGGGGAACACTGACTCTACACGGGAAATTTGAAAACGGCCTGATGGAGGATTTATCGGGGATGGGGGTCGGGGCGTGTATGGACGGAGGACATCAGTACCCACGTGTGTCCAGGGGACGGGCCTGGGGCGCAGCTCCCTCCTCCGCATCCGGGCACAGCAGGTTTCTGCGCGAAGAGAATGACAACCCGGCGGCAAGTCGGGATGACAAGGCCGACCTGAAGGGCACGCGCTTTTATGTAATCGACCTCGGTACCGAGGGTCTCGGGGGTCGGCGCTGAGCGCGGGAGGCGCCGAGGGAGGACGGCGTGCCCACGTTATTTCCTAGCACATAGGAGGGGACAGCAACGCGAGATAAGTTAGGGAGCTTAAAGAGCAGGGCGGCTCGCCCCTCTGCCTTTCCCCAGAGCCCGCTGCGCCGAGCGCGGGTGCTGCTCGGCGTCCTCTCTCCCCGCCCGGCCCCTGACCCGACCCGGGGGCCGAGCGCGCAGCCCTCTTCTCGGAACCCCTCGCTGGGTGGCCTTGGGCGAGCCGCTTCACCTCTCTGGGCCTCAGTTTCCCGGTCTTTGCGTCTGGCCACGCGGTAGCCGAGCCGTGGGGCTCCCCGCGCGCCCCGCGGGCCGTGGGAGAGCGGGAGGCGCCGGGACGCCCCTCCCCGGCCCGTCCGTGCAGCCGAGAGCGGCGCCCCCGGCGGCGCGCCGCGGCGGGCGGCGGGGCGCGGGCGCAACGCGCAGGCGCGGCGGGCGGGGCCGCGGAGGGCGGGGCGGGGCGCTCGGCGGGGCAGCTCGGAGAACGCGGGGCGGCGCGCGGCGGGCGGGTGGCGGCTGAGCTCGGCGCTGGCGCTGGCGCCGGCTGGCGAGGTTCGCCCGGGACTGCCTCAGGCTCTCAGAGTGTGCCGCCGGCCCGGCAGCAGGGCCCGCCTGACCGCGCCGGCCCGTGGCGGGAGCTCGGGGACCGCGTCCGGGAGGCAGTGGCCGCCAGCGCGGGGCAGTCGGCGGCCACCCCCTGGGGACCGGGGCTGCGCGGCCACTTCCCGCCTCGCGGCGCCGCCGTCGCCGCCGCCGCCGCCGCCGCCGCCAGGCCGACCGCCCGGCTTGGCTCCGCCGCGCCCCGGCCGCGGCGTCCGGCCCGGGTTCCGCGCCGCTAGGGCGCGGGCGGGGTCGGGGGTTGCGTGGCCGGCGCTGCTCGCCCGCCTCGAGTCCGCGTCCCGGGCCCGGGCGGCCGGCGAGCATGGAGGAGAAGTACCTGCCGGAGCTGATGGCGGAGAAGGACTCCCTGGACCCCTCCTTCACGCACGCCCTGCGGCTGGTGAACCAAGGTAGGGGCGCGCGCCGGCCCGCGGCCGTTGGAGACCCGGGAGCGGCGGGCCAGGGGGCCGGGGACCGGGAGGGTCGGGACCGGCGGGCAAGGCGGGAGCGTGGGGCTGGCTGGCCGTCGCCCTTGGGGCGACTGGAGGGGACGCAGGTCGCAACCTGGGGGCGTTCAGGTAGGGACCTGGGAGCGTACCGGACACCTGGGGAGCGCCGAGATGTGTGTGCGCGTTGGGGAGACTCGGGAAGGAAGGAGGCTGAGGCGTTCGGCTAGGACTTGAAGGAAACCTTTGGGGCCTCGAGGATACCCAAGGGAAACTTATGAGTGGGGGACGGCGAACATCTGGGGGCTTCGTCAGGGCGGGGTTGAATGATCTCATTGGAGGGGGAGAGTGGGGCGGGGGACTCGGGGAACTAGTGCGTTTGGCTTGTCTGGAGGGAAGGAACTGGAGCAAGCTGGAGGGAAATGGAAGGATTTGAGGGGATCGAATGCAGAAGAGGTGAAGGGAGCAGGTGCTTGGATTGTTGGTGAAGTTTGAGGACCTTTGGAGGAGGTTTGGGGTCAGACCTCAAGCACTTTGGAGGAACAGGGCCAGCGGTCCCAGTGGCAGAGACCCGTCTCCTGTCGCATCCCCTCTTTGTCCCGGGTCCAGGCTCTAGCCGCCCTCCCTGGGGGTGGGCAGCTCATGCCAAGCCTTGCAGGCTGGCCCTCGAGGGCCATTAGGGGAGAAGAGGCCCACACCGGAGCCCGCTTCTTGGCTTGCCGGTCCTCTCTTTGGGAGGCTCTGGCTGGGCCGCCCTCCTTGGGGGCTGGCTGGGGATTCGGAACGCCGGCCGCGGAGCCTCTGCTGCCTGTGCCATCTTATCACTACTCCGGCCAGCTCAGGGTGTGAGCAGCCCTGGGGAATGCAGGCCACGGGGTGCAGGGGGTACAGGAGGCGTTCGGGCCCAGGACAGTGTTCCCAGGCTTGTTCCTCCTCAGGCTTCCTGAGTAATCTTCTGGGATGGACGGTAAATTAAGCCTGCCTTCCCGGGACCAGCCCTTTATTCCTCCTGGATCTGGAATACGTGTCTCAGAGAAAGCTGGGTTTGGGAGCCGCTGGTCTGCTGTTTCTCTGGGTGATGGCAGAAACATTATCTGGTCGGATCTGTTACCTTTTGCCTGAATCACTCACTGCGCCTTGACAGTCTGTGCTTCCTCACTTAGGCGGGTCTGCTGGTCTTAATGCTGGCCCTGGCTCTTTTATTGTTGGAAGTGAAAGATGAGGCAGACATATTCTGCTTGTGTATAGATATCTATATTTTAAAACAGCGACCTCCAGTATTTGCGTGTTGCAACCAGTTCTTCCGAGTAGGGTGTGCGTGTTGCTGGCTGAGGGTGGTGGTGGAGACTCACTGTCTCCAAGAATTTCAGCTTGATATTTAATTTGTTGAATGGAGACTGGTTCACAGAGCTTCCCCATTTTATTTTAATTGTAAGCTTATTTTTATTTCTTTAATAACATGGGCTTGTGAAGAAGTAATGGGCATGCATTAAAGTAAGAGAATTTTAAGTTTTATTGCCGTGCTCTTCCGAACAGCCCTACAGTTAGGTTTGTACTCCTTGCTCTTTGTGATTTACATATATCTTTTGTTGCCTGCTGGGCTGTCATCTCTTTGAAAGATATTTCTTTGTACATTGTGTGAGATCACCGGCGTTAGAAATATTCTGGATTGTAGAATGAGTGCACTTTTCTTAATAAAGAAGCTGAATCAAAGTTACGTTGTACTCAATTAAGGAAGCAGTTTAACAAGAGTGTAGTAAGTTATTTTATTTTAAAAGTCAGAATTATTTTTCTGTGTCAGGTTGCTGCAGTACATTCATTCTCATACATTCAAAATTCTTTTGGTTTCTGAGTTTGTACCTGTGGTAACTGCCTCCAGTTATTTGAAACAGATCTTGGACAGTGTTGCCATTTAGTGGTTTTTTTAAGACCTTAAACCGGATTACCTTACTTTTCCATCAAAAATGTAGTTCTTGTAAGAAGTACGCTTCTCACACTGAACAGTTATGTGGAGGAAGAAAGAGATACTGCTCAGGTGCTCTTATTACTGTTAATTTAGATTATTTCAGACTAAAATGTTTCCCCCTTAAATCACAGGCTGGTGTCTGGAATGCAGAACCCTGTCATTTAAAATATTAATTACTCTCTGTTACGTAACTTCAGAATTACAAGTGCATTGCTAAAACGGTGTCTTAAATCTGAATTGGCTGTTAGGAAATTGATTTTAAATCTGATAATCATCTTGTGAGTGGCTGTTGAGAGCATTTTTATTCTTTTTTACCTGTATTTTTGACTGTTTGCATCTAAAGGAGGCCCTGGTTTTTCAGATGTTGTTCTGAATCTCGATGCTGGAATCCAGATTCGGACACTAACTTGTACAGTGTTGATGAGTCAGCAGTGCACACCTCTGCTTTATTATGGAGTGACGTGTAACAGATAGACATGATGGTTAACATCTCCAAATGCTAACAGGACCTTTGTGTGCATAGTGTTCTAAAGCTTCTGAGGCTCTTTCAGGCACATGCTGTCTACTTGTGTTCTCCCACTTGCACGCTGGTGAGGCAGCCTTTGATGTCTCCATTTTTCAGGGGAGGGAGCTGAGGACCTCAGCTATGGGAGCTCGTAGGTAACTGAGATAGGTTAATCTGAACTCAGGTGTTTGGTCTCATAAGGCCCTTGTTCTCCCTACTTATATGCCTTCCTCAAAAGATGGCTCTGAAACACTTCACACATGCTAATTTACCTGCAGAAATCGATATAACTAATATGCTTGTTTCCTGTCGACTCCTGTCGGCTTCCTGTTGATTTTGTTAAAAAGTTTGTTTCTGTGCTTGTCTAGTGATCTTCTTTGAAGAAACAAACATTCACGGTAGATTTATCCTACAGGATTTTAGTGCTCAGGTTAAGGGGCATTTTTGAATTAAAGCTCTCTGGAGACCAATATATGATTTCAGTAATCAACACACTATGATAATGAAACAGTTGATAAATGAGGTGTGGTCATTCTTTAAAAAAATTCAGCATTTGTAAACATGTTCAACTTCCTAGCGGAATTACTTTTTTTTCCTAATAATGCTTAAGTAAGAACTTGAGCTGGGATCACATCAAGATGTGTGCTTCTCTGCTAACATAGGTTGGCTTTTACACTTTCCAGGCTTGTGTTTCGTAGCGGACATTAGTTCCTGACTTTTATTTCTGTTTTCTCAGGATAACTGATTTTCCTTCCCCCCATCCCTCGAATATCGAATGCTTTTGTTTCTTTGCCAATAGTAATGGGTAATGTTTACTTGATGTTAAACCGAATCAAATAAAATAGACTTTTTTAAATCGCCTCTCTGCCTCCTCCCAAACACCACTGCCTATAGAGTGAGTTGACATTGCAGTTTCTTGCCAAGGAGGTTAATTGGAGATGAAAGTAGCATTGCATGTTTAATATTATATTTGCTAGTAGGGGGTATGCTGACTCTTACTAAAAATCATCTTCAGAAATGTCTTACGCTTATAATTTAATCCAGTTCTCTGGTATTGCTTTGGATGTTTTTCAGTCCAAGCCAAGTAACCATTAAATAAGATTACATAACCCTGTATTTTTAATTATCTGATGTAATATATGGATTGGTGGCTGGTTCACTGCCAAGTTATATTTAGTGGTTGGTTACAAGAGGAAGTGGAGCAAAGGATTCCAGATTATGGTGGTCTATTCATGTCGAGATAAATAAGTGTTTTTCGTATTACATAAATGTCTCTAATAATAAAGGACTCTTAGCATTACACAGGATATGTGTGAGGGGTAAACATGTATAAAGGAAGGATCATTATTTTGCCTTAAGTGCATCTCTTTGTTCAACAAAACTCAATGGCTTAAGAGTTTCATTTTGGGGGATCCTTTTTGTAAATGTTTTTGATCGCTTGCGTGTTGTCAGGCATTTAAAGTAAGAGAGAAGAATGAGAATGAAAATTACAGAGTTATATTTAGCTGTGGTGCCTTCATGCCATAGTGTGTGATTCTCTGCTTCATCCAGAGAAGGATGTGGTTACTTACGTTTTTAATAGTTTTTCTTAGGGTTATCAGGTTTTGTTTTTTGTAAGAAAATGGATGCATGACTCACATTTTTAGATAAACCATTTTGAATTTTTTATAGTGTGTTATGATTCAAAGGGATCCAGTGATTGTCAGTTACTGTGTTTTGGTATCTGGACGTTAGTAGCAGGTTTATTGAGAACCTGCCACGCGGGGCATTTGTGCTGGTCCTGAAGGTGGAGAGGGAAAAAGAGTCTCTGCTCTTGAGGAACGTCGGCTCTCTCTGCATTAGATTGAGAGTGAGTTTTAAGTTTATAGATGCCCTCTCCTTTCCTAAGGAATGTCTTATTAGCCTTCAGCTATTCTTTTGAAATATTTAGTGACAGGCAGTTTAGATTTAACTCTCAGTCTAGGAACATTTTCGAGGTGCTTCTCTGTGCCCGGTTAGGTCTATAATCTCAATACTGGGAACAGCCCAGAAATGTAGAGGCTATTAGCCTAATATTTCACTTGTAGAAACCAAGACTCCAACAATAAAGTTGAGTCACCCAGAGTGACATACTTATACAATGTCCAGGTGGAGGTTCAAGCTTTGTTCTTCTCCAAGCCCATTGTTCTTTACCGTATCACACTGAGCCTTGGACGTATAAAGGGTCAGGTTCTGATGGTACAGTTAGTAATGACAGAAGGGGGATTCAAACTCTGGCCTCTTAGACGCAGTTTGTTCTTTTCTCCCTAGCCTGTGCCGGAATTGAAAGATGGGTTATGTAGCATCTGTTGTTATACTTTATCCTTCCGATTTCTGCTGTAGGTATCTCCTCTGACCACTTACCTCCCCCACCAAATGGGTTAGAGTGCCTATTTTCTGGTCCCGAAGCAGCCACTGCCTAAGTCTCTGATGGGGTCATAGTCATCACACTGTACTGACTGGATCTCTTTGTCT